TCTTGTTCAGATGCACCTCTGCCCCTAGCCCTAAAAAGAACTCTGTCTATAGGTCCCAGAAAACCCTTAAACTTTTAGGTTTCTTATCTACTCTCTTTATCTCCCTTTGAAAGCAAACTTCCTCCTTCCAGTTCCCTTCTTTATCTATTCCCATCATCTGTTCAATCTCTCAGACCTTCCAAACGGAATTCCCACCTAGACCCTTTTTTCAACCATCCCCCCCTTCCTCTGGCCACTCAAAGTTACTTTAAATGTATAAAAGATCCACTCTAACCCCCATTTAGACACTGAGCTTTTCTCATGCTCAAAAGGTTGAGACTGTCTCATGCCCACTCGACCCTAAGGGCGTTACTGATGTTTGGGTTCCTTGGGAGTCTGGCCTGTATGCTTTATCTCTAATAAACTTTTTCTCTGACTGGAAGAAGATTTGAGTTGAATTCTTTCAGGCAGGGCTCAGTACCACGATCTTGGGGTGCCTCTGTGCATCTAGGAGCACCCCAAAACCTCTATACTTCTTCAATAGGAGGTTTTTTATATGTATGTATGTATATATATATATATATATATATATATAACTTGAACAAAAGGTGATGATAGTTTAGCCTAGTTTTGAAGAAAACTAGAAATTCTAAGATACAGAGGTGAAGAAGTGTATTTCAGTTATGGGGAGCAACCAATGAAAAAATTCAAAAATGAGAGATGGAGTGTCATTTGTGAGGAGCAGTAAGGAGGTCAATTAAGCTGAATCATCGACTTTATGTAAAGAAATAATGAGTAATAAAGTTTAAATGTAGGTTGGAGTCAGGCTCTGAAGGGCTTTAAATGACAAAAAGAGAAAGTTGTATTTGATCACAAATATAATGTGGAGTCATTGGAGTATCTTGAGTAGAGAAATAACTTGGTCAAATATGCACATAACAAAAATCACTTCAGCAGCGGGGCAGAGGATGAATTAGAGAGAGGAAGGGAAAGGTTTGAGGCTGTAAAACCAATTAGGCAGCTATTGAAATAGTTGAGGCATATGGTGATGAGAAACTTTACCATTAGATTGTAAGCTCCATGAGGGCAAGGACTGTCTTTTGCCTCTTTTTGTATCCCCAGTGCTTAGCACAGTGTCTGGAATATAGTAAGCACTTAATAAATGTTTATTGAATAGAATTAACTCAGACAGTGACCATGTGAGTAGAAGAAAGGGATGGAAAGGAGAGAAATTGTAAAGTTAGAAGCAAGACTTACCAAATGATTGGATATATATGGTGTGAGAGAGAGTAAAAGGTTGAAGATGGCATCTGAGTATGGAACCTCCACGAATGAAAGAATAATCACTATCATCATTATTAATAATAAGATCTCAGAAACCTTGTAAGATAATTTCAGGGACAGGTCTGAGAGGTTAATTTTGTCTCTAAAAGTAAATTCCTCTTCAGGGTGTTCTGCAAAGAACTTTGTCTAGAAGATCTAGGATTTGGAGAGAGATTCTCAATTTGGAAGACTTCTTTGAGAAAAAGTATTTTTAGCTTCATAGATTTATAATGGGAAGGGTATCTAGTCTACTGTCATCATTTTTATATATGAATCAAAAATGTATTATTAAAGGAAATAGTATTTTAGTTAAATCCCTGAAGATCCTCATTCCAAGAATAATGGCCTGCATTATTCTCTTCAAACAGATTCCTTAGGATCCTATAGGAAGAGAACAATGGCTAGGAGTGAAGAGAATGATAACCCAGTGTCAATAATAATCAATAATGTTGAATAAATATTTATTAAGCACCTACTATGTACCAGGCTCTGTGCTAAGTACTGGGGATACAAATGTGTAAAAGATAGACAAACCCTACTCAGAAGGAGCTTACAATCTAATGGAGGAAGAAAACATACAAAAGAAAGCTAAAAAGTAGTGGGAAGGGATGTGAAGCATCCCACATGGGGGGGGGGGAGCAGCATGGCAGAGAAGTTTAAAAAAAGCAAAAATGAGTACAACTTCAGGTGACTGGCAGGGGAGGGGAGGGAATTAGGAGTTATCTGAGATATCAGCCCGTTCCTCTCCTTAAATGGATGACTTTATGGCTCTGACGTCAAAGGGGCAAGGGGTATTGATGATGTGTGATTAATAAGGATAATGAGATCTTGTAAGATGATGAGATTTCCCAAGGTGAGTTTGCTGGAGGCATGATGAAGAAATAAAAGAAGTCAGAATGAGTCCAACTGAGTGATGTCTGTTGCACATTAATATACCATAATTTGTTCAGCCATTCCCCAATTGATGGGTACCAACTTTCTCAGTATCTCCCCTAAGAGGTTTTTCCACTGACGTGCTAACCTCCTCCCATGTTCACAAGCTCCTTCAAATTCAGGTTGCTGGGAGACATTCCTTAAGAGTCTTCACAATATCACCCCTATGATTTTACTTCTTTAGAATTTTTCATCTTTGATATCAATTCCTTATCCTTAGGGTGGGCTTCACAAACTTATGGAGGGAGATGGGTATGATGATGGTAGATTCAGATCTAAGGAATGTAGTTGAAAGCATTGTGCCACCAGTGTGACAAGCCTTCTGTCTTCATGGTCTAAGAAGTTGTGGCATCTGAAAACCTCCTGGAGGTCTGGGATTCAGTGTTTACATAGAGCCCTGGGAAGCCTTCATCCCCCTCCAGGAAGAAGAATAGAGCCAAACTAAACTTCTTCAAGTTTCATTTAAAACTCCAACTTGGTCATAGTGGTTTAGAGGGAACTAGGCAAAGAGAAAGTCAATGTGCATGAAATCTTCAAGAGTTCAAACTGCCAGCTCAGTCTTATTTAATTCTTATATTATCTTCCCATTTCATTAAATCCCTTAGATTTAATAAAATCTAAAGGACTTATTAAAATCTCCCTGAGATTTGTATCAAAAGGAAGGCTGGGCTTTCCTTAAAAGGCTTCATTTTAGTCTCTGATTTTTTTTCCTTTTCCCTTGTCCTCACCTATGCTTGAAAACAACCCCCTCATTTTTATAAGAATCCATAACAACATGTGGGCAGGGTTTGGTTGAGTGCACATTATACAGTGAAACTAAATATGGTTTCTCCAAACAAAGACTCATCATATGGTCAACAGCTGTGACTTACAAATGCCCTTCTATATAATCCGGAAAGTCAAAAAAGTCACCCAGATTCTGCATTCCCATAATGGCCGCAAATTGGCAACACAGAACAAACAGAAGAAAGAACAGTTAGACTCTTTTTAAGAAGCAAAATACCGCCAAACTAGGTGCTAATCAAAAAATATACTGAAGAAAACAAAAGTTCTCAAAAAAACAATAAGAATACTTATATTAAGCTTTCCAGTTTCCTCTGATTCAGGACATAAACTTTCTATATGGTCTACAGAGGAAAAAGAAATACAAGCCTTGTTCAATTCAATCCAAGGAACACGTATCAAACAAGTATCATCTATGCCTTCACCAGTGAGATCGCATATCTGTCATCCATTAAAAGTATGTATAAAGCCCTGTGCTAGGTCCTATAACATGTAACCTGCTCTCAAGTAGTTTACAATTTAATGGGAGGGAGATACAAATGCCAAAGTAATCATGATAGAAAAAAATATAATAAGTGCTAAGGAAAGGTCCATATATTGCTCCATGAGAAATTAGAGGAAGTAAAGATTGCAGTGACGGATGGAGAGAACATGAAGGTAGCATCTAAATTGAACATTGAAAGAAGAGAGAGACTTCAACAGGTAGAAATTGGGGTAGACCCCATTCCAAACATGGAGACAGCACAGGTAAAGACATGGAAATGGGCACATGTAGTGGGATATGTAGACTGGGGTTAGATTTTGAAGAATCTTGAATTTGAAGATAAGGAGTGCTTTAACTTCTCTTTACCTTTACCTTCTCTCCCTCTTTTTTCTTACCTTTACCTTTTTACCTTACCTTTACCAGTGTGGTGTAAATGGGAATAGTTTTGGATCTAAGCTTAGAAGACCCTACATGATCTTGGGCAAGTGGTTAAAGTTAAGTCCCCAATTTCCTCATCAGTAAAATGAAGAGACTGTGGGGAAGGTTCCTGATCAGAAACGAGTTGGATTAAATGCCCTTTGAGGTTCTTCCCCAATTTGAAATTCTCAAAATCTGTGATTAGATAAACTATAAGGTCTCTTTCAGCCCAAATCCTACAAAATCAATAGGTAGCTACAGAAAGCTTTTGAGTAGAAAAGTGCAATGATCCAAGGTGAAAAGAAATGTATGGACAGTTAAAGTAGGGAAAATAGCCTGGAGAGAGGAGCACCAATTAGAAAGCTTTAAAAAGAAATAATTAGGTTGTACTAGTACAGAAAAACCTTTGGTTTCATAAGCCTAATCTTTTTCTTGCCTCTTTCAGTCCCAGGTACCCCCTTTCTCCCTGCCTGGTATGCACTCTCTCCCACCTTCCCCCCTTTCTGGAATTTTCTGTCCCTGCAACCTTCCAACCTAGTAGCTTCTTATCTTCCTAGCTCATTGGCACCCCTCCACCTCTGTCTATGACACCAGATAGGAGAAACAAATCAGATAGGCTGAGCAAGTCTGGGCTCTTCTCTATAATATAAACAAAGCCTCTTCAGTTTCCCTACACTTCCTTGATGCACTGAGTGAAGATGCAACTTGAAGAAAAACTCAAGGAATTGGTGAGAGCTTATTGAAGAGACATACAAGCAAATCTTACTTTATTGTGCTTCGCAGATACGGAGGTTTTGTGGCATACCTGCATTGAGTAAGTCTATTGATGCCATTTTTTCAATAGCATGTGCTCACATCATGTCTCTGTGTCACATTTTGGTAATTCTTGGGATATTTCAAACTTTTTTATTATTATTATATCTGTTATGATTATTTGTGATCAGTGATATTTGATGTTACTCTTATAATTGTTATAGGGTACCACAAACCACACCCATATAAATGATGACCTTAATCAATAAATGTATGTGTTGACTGATATACCCACCAGTCATTCTTGTCTCTTTCTCTTTCTCCTCAGGCCTCTCAATTTGACAACATTGAAATTAGGGCCATTAATAACCTTACAATGGCATCTAAGTGTTCAAGTGAAAGGAAGAGTCAACTGATGGGGCAAATTTCATTGTTGCCTTATTTTAAGAAATTGCCACAGCCACTCCAACCCTCAAAAATCACCACCCTGATCAGTCGGTGGCCACAACATCAAGGCAAGACCCTTCACCAGCAAAATAATTATGATTAGCTGAAGGCTCAGATGATGGTTAGCACTTTTTAGCAATAAAATATTTTAATTAAGGTATCTATTTTTTTCAGACATAATACTATTGTATACTTAATAGCCTACAGTGTAGTGTAAACTTTTTGTTTGTTTGTTTGTTTTTTAGGCAATTGGGGTTAAGTGACTTGCCTAGGGTCACATGGCTAGTGTCCAGTGTCTGAGGTCGGATTTGAACTTAGGTCCTCCTGACTTCAGGGCCTGTGTTCTATCTACTGCACCACCCAGCTGCCCCATTAAACATAACTTTTATATAACTAAAACATTTGTGTGACTCACTTTATTGTGATATTCTCTTTATTACAGTGGTCTGAAATTGAACCCACAATATCTCTGAGGTACGCCTCTACTAATTCTCGAGACAAGCCTCTCATAAGAGGGAGGGAGAGAATAGGCACTTATATAGCACCTACTATGTTCCACGCACTATTTTAAGCACTTTACAAATAGTATCTCACTTGATCCATATGACTATTCAAGGAAGTAGGTGCTGTTATTATCTTCATTTTACAGTTGAGGAAACTGAGGGAAATGGAGGTAACATGACTTGGCTAGGGTCACATAGCTAATAAGTACTTGAGGTGGCAATGGAATTCAGTTCTTCTTGATTCCAGGTTCAGCATTTTCTCCATTGCTAGATCACAAGGATTCTGTTATGAGGCCGTAGACTGAAGAACTCGGGCTGTCTGGGGACCTCACAGGTCGTATTTCTTTCCTGCCTTTCCATGTCCACCTTTGCAAGTATTAGTTCCTTCCCATTCTCCCCACCTACCCATCATCATTCCTTTGTCTCAACTGAAGCCACTTGGCTTTCTTCTAAATGTACCACATGAAAAAGGCTGTTGTTTTCAGCATTGACTGATCCATCTGGTTCTTCTGCAGAGCTCCTTTAAAAGTTTCAGCTACGGACTCCAATAGATGACCTATTGAGAAGGGAGGGAAAAAATAAAAAGAATGAGTTGTGAGCTCCTGGAGAGGTATGGTTATATCTTTTGACTGATTTAGCTAGATCTTCACATGGCCAGATACATCTTATGTACTCAAGGAACCCTAAGTGAGTGAAGATTGAACACTGTAGAGGAAAGATAAAGAGAACAATTTATAGAAGGAAAACTCATGGGATTTCTACAATGGAGGGAAAAGAAAGTGAAAAATGGCTAGAGAAACATGGCCAGAAAAAGAAGAGGATAACCTTCTACCTTGTAGTTATTTCTATACATCTTATCTCCTACATTAGCCTGCAAGCTCTCTGAGTACAAAGGAGCCTTTTATCATTTATCCCTAAGGCTGAGCACAATGTCATCCATGCACAGAATGAGTTCTGGATAAATTCTTGTGAAGTGATGATTTGGTTGGATTTGCTGACCTGCTTTCTGCTTTTTTCGAAAAATTTTTTTTTTGTAACAAGCAAAGCCTTGCCAGATAGGAGGAAGGGAATGGATATATTTGAAAATGTAAATAATGCCAAACCAAAAGATGTCAGAAAAAAATTTTGCAATGACATTTGATGCCCAAAATTGAAAAATAGAACAAAATAAATGCTTGTTGAATGGAATGAAATGGAATTCAATTGAGGGTCATACAGAAATTTTAGAAGAGGAAAGATATATAATATGTTATAGAATAATAAGATAGGATCTCTGTTGAACAACCCAGAACTTACAGATCCTAAAGAATGTTGTCACTCCAATGAGTTCTTTGAGAGCCAACACACTTATTCCATCAATGTTGCCCCTGCTTCAAATGTGTCTGAAATGTGCTCTTTGAGGTTTGTCAGTTTAAGAGCCCAACAAGAAATAATGCATTTGCATTATTATCGCTCCTTATTTAAAATATATATTATTTATTTTTAACATTTAAAAATGTTGATTTTTAAACACTGATTTTTAATACTTTTTAAATTTTAATTTTGTAAGAATTTTGTAAGTTTTTTTAATTTAAATTTTGAGTTCCAAATTCTTTTCCTCCCTCCAGCCCCATCCATCCAGAAGGCAAACAATGATACTCATTACACATGTGAAATGATGAAAAGCATATCTTGTCACCCAAAAATGCAAGAAAAATAAAGAAAACAAGAAAATTATACTTCAATTTGCATTTAGAGTTCATCAGTTCTCTCTCTGGAGGTGGATAGTGATTTTCATCATGAGTCCTTCCAAATTGTGTTGAATCATTGTATTGATCAATGTAGCTAAATCTTTCACAGTTGGTCACAATTACAACATTGTTGTTGCTACGTACAATGATCTGGTGCTGCTCCCTTCATTCTGCATCAGTTCACATAGGTCTTCCCAGGTTTTTCTGAAACTATCCTCCTCATCATTTCTTATATCACAATATATCACTCCTCATTTTTAATTAAAAACTACACTCCCATAGCTTCACTGGTAAGTTCCTCTATCTCATTCACTAGATTTGGCTCTGAAAGATTTTCAGTGGTTTCCAATAATCAAGTCAAGCCTTAAAGAATGAAAGTTTCTCATCACTGAGAACACTGGGATGTGCTGCTGGACCTGAGGGCCAGTCTCTGAAAGGAACCCAGAAACGCTGTGATCAGTGGCAGACTTGCTGGCCTTCCAAGGTTGTTACTGTTAGAAATAATAATAATTAATAATAACAATTGGTATTTATATAGTGAATGGCTAGGGGAAGGGGATTGTAGAGGATCTGGCCCTGTGATTTCATTGCTATAAAGAACTCCCAGGTTATAAGCACAAAAACATAGCTTCAGAACCCTGAGGGAACTTGGAGGACATTTGGTCCAACTCACTTGTTTCACAAATGGGGAAACAGAGGCACAAACAGGTGAAATGACTTGCCTAATGGTAGCAAGTATCAGACTGGGATTCAAACCAAGGTCCTATGACTCTGAATCCAATGGGCCAAGAAAGAGCGGCCTCTTAACTCCCTCTACCATTGCTGACCGTTCACTGTTGTGAAATACAGAAAGCTGTCTGAAACACTAAGCGGCCTTATAAGTGGCTTTGTGGGTCACACAGCATTTATGTGTCATAATCCAGACTTAAATCTAGGTTCCTCCCTTACTCCTAGGCCCGTTTTCTATCCACGACAAAATACTGATCTCATGGGTGATTTAAGGTTTGTAAATCACTTTAAAGACATTATCTCATCTGATCCTCATGGCAGCTTTCATTTCCAAAGTGTTTTACAATTTAAAAAGTGTTTTCTTCAGAACAACCCAGTAAAGTAGATAGCTTTCTTTCTTTTTACAAATGAAAAAGTAGAAGTTCAAAGACACTAAATTATTTTTCTAGACTTACACAGCTGGAGAGAGTCAGCAGCAGGACTGGAACTCTGGCTTTCTCACTCTAGTGATCCTATCACTAGACACTTATTTGGAAGTATAAGATCTGGTCTGTTATCTGAAAAATCAGTCATCTAACTTTTAAACTACATGGAGCATGAGCATGATAGAGAATTTTAAGAAGAAATAAAAATAAGAAAGAAAAGGGGACAATGTGTGAAAGGGAGAATAAAGAGGTTTTTTTTTTTAGGAAAAGAGATTTCTGACTAACCCTTCTTTCCCCAAGTTAGCCATCAGGGAAGAAGTTTGATACTTTGTTTAAAATGCAGCTCAATTTAGGTAGGGGCATGAGCTGCCCTTAAGGATCCCTTGGGAGAAGTGTGTATGTGTATGGGGGAAGTGTAGCTGCATTTGGAAAGAATATGTATACATAGTTTTATCCACAGTATGTTGGCCACAGCCTCAGGCCTGTGTTGTGGCATTAAAAAAAGTACTCAAGGCCTCTATACGCAAGGAGTTATCCTGGATACTTCTCTATCTTATTTCTTTCTTTATACATGTCAAACATTCCTAGTTCTCATTAGAGGAAAAGAATGGAATTACAGACAGGTTAGATAACAAAGACATCCACATACACATATGGATAAAGAGCCAGAAGAATTGTGGTTCATAGAATGGGAATATCTGGGGATTCAGCAGTCACAGATTCTGGTCCCAGCTTTGCCAGGGTATGGTTGCTTTAGGTAAGTCAATTAACCTCTTCGGGTCTTAGTTTCCTCTGTTAAATGAAGATATTGGTTTAGATTATTTGCAAGTTCATATTCAGCTTATATTTTATGATTCTATGAAATATTAACTCCTTTATAAAGTTTTGAACACAATATTCTAAGATTCCAAGATGGCACACTTTTGGTATCCTTTGATACAATAGAGGGTGCATGTTTTGTACAGCTGAAATTTGTAATTTTTAATAAAATTGATTAACTGGGTCCTTCTATGCAGGATTAAATTTGGAAAGAACTACATTTCCATGCATCTAGACCTTTACTTGGTATAAATGAGAAGGTGGAACCCAACTGTGAGGAGGAGAGACAGCTACACAAATCCTACTTTGCTCTGCTTTATCCATGAAGGAGAATGACCTTCAATTTAAGAAGGAGGGTTAGGTATCAGTGGGTTGCTAACAGTATTGTTGGAGGTGTAGTGTTGATGATTATCCTTCATCTCAAGGATCTCTGTGGCTTGCTTCTCCTATCCATCTGCATTCATGATAGCAGGGTAGGGTCTTAGACAAGTGCTCACTACAAGACCTCTGTCAAGGTTCTAATGGAAACAACATGGAGAAAAGGGTTCTACTCCTATTACTGCTTCTCAGCCTCCAGTGGGGTGCTTCCCATTGCCAAATCAGCCAACTGATTTGATTAATTCTTAACAAAAACATCTATTCAAAAGGTAAAGCAAGAATAATAATTATACAACATTCTATTCATAAACCTGGGATATACTCTCTCACCAATATACAAAGTGTCCAGAGGGAGAGTGGGCACAAACTTAAAATACAAGGTAGTGATCCATACATGTAGTGATCACACATGGCCAGGGCAACTAACAAATCTAGAATGCAGATTTTAATGTTCATTCTCTTTCTTGGGGACTGTCTTTGGCAATTTTCACTGATGTGCATGATATCCATCTTAGATAGGTGTCTCTATTGCTAAGCTGGGCTGCACTTCAGCTGTGCTGGATT